TGGTTTGTCTATTGTACTTCTTTTGTTCGATTGATTATGACTAACGAGGCATAAGTAATCTTCATAGGTAAAAAAAAACGTTCTCAATGGAGGTTACTTTGTTTATATGAAAAAAGATTATAAATATTACAATATCGATTAATATATTATTCGATTTATCTATGAATTAAATGTTCAATAATAAAATAATGAACACAAGAATAAAACTTTTAATCATTAGATGTGCTTTGTTGTCTATCATGTTGTTATTATGATAGCGACATTAATACAACGTTTCTATATTAAATCTTCTCTTTTTTGTTTGAAGTCAAAATTGCACTGGTGAATTTTTTTTCTCTTTATAATTACGATCGTTTTAACTATTTTTGGCTTTCATGTTGCCATCTATCAAAATTGTCGGTCATAGCGTAGGCGTAAATATAGATCAAGGACAAATAATGCAAAAAGATCATAAATCATGAAACCAATGAAAAACAATCTCGTTAATATTTTTACTAATTAGGCAAATAATTTTTTTTTAATATCATCATATAAACTTAACTAAAAAAAAAACACAAAACTCTCATTACTAATTAATAGATTTAATTTTTTATTATTTATCTAGTATTTGATCGAGTTTCATATACAATACGTGAACTATGTAATATAACACAACAAGCTCGTGCTGCATTTCAATATGCTACATTAAATATCTATCAAGCATCCTCTCGACAACAACAAGTTCAATCTCAATTATCATCAAATATTCCACCAACACCAACCACAATTGCTCTTGCTCAATTACAATCTATGCGACAACAAAAATAAACAATTAATGCATTTGTACTGTTCGTTTTAATATGTATAATGATATGAAATAACAGACTTTCATAGTAATATGAAAGACAAAACTAAGGACCGGTGATAAGTTTTAAAAAAAAACATACAGAAAGGCAACCGAAGATAAATATATCATGAATAGAGCAATTTCAAATAATGTGTACGCCTTATTAATTTTGCTTTTTTTGTTTATTGTCCTCAATAACATCTCGATTTTTTTTTTCTATGCACTAATTAATTATTCTTTTGACCTAATGGAAACAAAAAAAACTAAAAGATTAGTTATTTTGTTTTTTTTTTTCTATTTCTTATTTCTTTCTCTTATCTGGTTAAATCTTTTTTGTTCTTTTTTATTAATGTTCCGTCTATGTCATTTGTGTTTGGCAGTCAAAATGTGCATTTTTTTCTTGTTTGTGTTTTGTCCATTGTCTTTTGTATGTACAAAGCAAAATAATAAAAAGAAACTGAACGAAGATCAATGCTCTTTTTTCTTGTTTTTTTTTGAATCTTGCTCTACTTTCTCGAACTTTGTTTTTTGATTTATTACTACTAAATCTATTCTTTTTTTTCTTTTTCTTTCTCTTCTTCGTCTTCTCCTACTATACTTGTACGCTGGTTTCTTTCCTGTAGCCACATCACGCTTTTTCCTTTTTTTTGTAATAAAACATGAGAAAAAAAATATACTTTTTGCTTGAGAAAATTACGATGGGGAGTGATGTGTGAAAAAAAAACGTATTTTTTTATCAATACATCCTTTTCTTTTTTCTCTATTTAAGATATCATATTTACCTGTTATGCATATATCTACTTGAAAACTAGTTTGGTACGACGAATTGATTATACTAATATTAACGAGTATTTATTTCCATTATTTTCTCTTGTTTTTTTTTTGATATAGAACGAAATTTATTGGTTGATCTCGAAAAATAATTGTAATATAACTGATGTTATGCATTACGTCCGTTCGTTTTAGTTAATTGATCAACGTCTGTTGTTCTTCTATTTTTATCATGTTTTTTTCTTGACTTCTGATAAACTATTGAGTATTCTATCATGTTTTCATTCCCTTATGAATATTTGTCGCATATTTAATGACTATTTCTTTATTTTGAGTAATTATTGAAAGACGGCATTAGGCATCTGACTAACTTCTGTTGAAATTTCAATCAGTATTATTTATATAAATATATGAGAAATACAATACAGAAATGTGACTTACATAAACTCAATCACCTTATAGGAAGGAACAAAAAAATCTAGTTTCTTTAGAGACAAAAAAAGAATTCTATTGGTGAATTTTCCATTTTTTTTTTTTTGGAAAAAAATCTTCAAATAAAGTTGAAATCCTTTACATTATTTGTCGTACATTCTTATTTAATTAGTTTTTTTTACCAAAATGTCACCAACAAAAACAAAAAGTATGAACAAAAACATGATGAGAATAGACGAGTAAGAAAAAGATCTTTTGACACTTCTGAAATAATTACAGAAAATAACAGAAGGTCAAATTGACCTCTATCTTGTGTTATGAATATATATTTTCACTAACATTAGTTTAAATATTTCAATATCGAAATTATATTAAATATGTTCGAAAGAATATGATTATTATATTTTAGATATGACTGACTACTCTGATTATCTTTTTTTTTTCTAGTTTATTATATTTCAAAGCTTATTGTTCTTTTTATGGATATTTAAATTAATAATTAATAATCAAACTGTTTATTATCTATAAATTAGCTTTGGTATGTATTGTTTCGATTTTAAAATAGAAAGTATCATCTTTCTAAATAGAGATATAATTTCATCAATTTTCCTTCTCTATTTTCACCGTAATTCTATATTTCTATTTCATACAGCACTTATGATTCGAGTACGGAATTCTGAATACCGCATATATAATTATCATGGTAAGTGTCATTTAATAGAAAAAAAAAAAAGAAAAGAAAACTTGATGTATAATACTAAAAATATTAGTATGTATGACATATTAGTCAAATCATTAATTCGTAAGGTTAAAGTACATTATATATGTATATATATCTTATATTGACGAAATTTTTAGAGAAAACCTATGTTAGGAAACATAATATTTTTTTATTGAAATTCTTCACATATAGAAAGTTCTAGAAGAGATAAATTTCATTTCCGTTACAGTTTTTCTTTATACTCAATGTATCATTTGCATGAATCTCGACTCGAAGGATTTCTAATTTTACGCTTTTTTTGTTTTCAATAAGACATCTAGATTTTTCTTTAAACTGAGAAGATAAAGAAAATATGTGTCATGATATTCTTAATAATTACTTTTAATTCAGCCTTGATTATGTTGATCTTAATCTTTGTTTATTTGAAATAAATTATTAACGAATTTTCAGATTATATTTTTCTTATTTTGTTCAATTAAGTTTGATCTTTTTCTTCTTTGCTAAAGAACATCATCAAGAACAATGACATAAAAAGTAAAAGAATGATTCTTTTTTATACGGACATTTTTCATATATAGATTGACTGCTTTCTTTTTGCATGATTATATTAGACAACTGTTTTCACCATCAATGTTTATTAAGAATATTCATGTCTCTTTTCTTATGATTTATTTATTATTAATATATAAAACGCCATCAAGTTGTTTACTTATATTAGTAAAATTCATATACAGGTTTTGTATGGATCTTAATAAGAATTTTTGAAATGAGAATGTAAACGATGCATTACTAAATCTACTGTCATCTAGTCAAAGATATTGTTCTGTTCATGTCATCTTTCTTATTGACAAATAGACATAGACATAATTACATAAATAATCTTATAAAGAATTTTGATTTTTGTTTTGATAATACTTGCATTATGCACCGAAATATAATTTATCAATTTTAAATTCTTAGTACATTTAAATTCTTTTAGAATAATAAAATTTAATGAAGTACTAATTTTTCATAAAATCTGTAATAATCTGTTAGGTAATTAATTAGGAAAAAAAAGATTTTAATTATTAGCAGTTTGATAATACTTTATTAGTTAAGATCAATGTGACATATTAGAAATAATAAGACTCGAATGATGTGTGTTATTTAACAGAGAAAAGTCATTATCCTTTGATAAAGTGATAAGTGCATAGAATCTATCTATATAAACTGTTAAAATATTTGAACGAATAAAAATCACGTAAGTTGAGTCATATATGTCGATGTATTAATATTATAGACGAAAATTGAAAGAATAGACTTTTTTTTATTATCCCTTGCATTATCTAATTATTACAAAGCTATTTATTTGTCTATAAATAGCATTGATTATGGCTGTTACCTTAAGAAGAATTCTCGAAAACATTGTACAATAATTGTGTCATTGGAAATATTTTTATCTATCAAAGAAAAAAAGTATATATTTAATTTTGATTATTTATTATTATCATTTCGAATTCATGTATATGAAAATATGCAAATAAAAAAAAACAATATGAATGATTTTTCATTAGATATAAACAATCTGTTGATATTAGAATATATCTAACAGATGGCTTTCCTTTTTTTTTTTGTTCTATGATAAGAATATTTTAGATATTTTAGTAGTTTGCAATAATCATTCTCTAAATTTTGTGTTTATCATGTTTGAGAAAAACATTTTGTTTCTTATCTTTTATTTTGTTACTTGTCAAGTTTTTGAATCGTGGCATATGTTTACAATGACTTTCTTGTTTTAATACTATTGAGGAATTTTATTATTTGTATGTTATGTACTGATGTATGTTCTTTGTCAAATAGATTACTTATATTAATGGTGATTTGTAAAAAGAAACAGGAGAACATGTAATGAATATTTTATCCAAATTTTGTCTTTCGGAGAAGTGATTTCAAACTTCTGAAGGGTGAATATCTATTTTTATAAGTATAGGCATACAGTACAATATTCATCTTCTTCAGGAGGGTCAACTCGATCTTTGTAGAGGCTTCCGCCTGGTTGACTGAATAAAACACTCGTTGTCATCTTTCTCATTTGTTTTCAAAGTTAAACTGGAAGATTTTTTAATGTTAAATGTATCTAATGAAATTAAAATGTATTTATTGTCTATATATTTTAGATATATATGAATATGTTAATTTTCTATTATCTAATAAACAGAAATCAATAGAGAAAGATTATATATTAAAACAATATTCATTGAATATACATCAATGAAATCCCGACACATTGGTCTATGCTTAGTATGTAATGATGCTGCTGTTGGTATTAATTTTGGTGTACCAACATGTATGCCATGTAAGGCATTTTTTAGACGAAATGCTGTTAAACTTGGTGTATGTTGGTTTTTTTAAGTTAATTTTTGTCTATTTTCGTTTCTTTTTCTTTCCAGACAATTGATTTTATTTGTCAAGAAGATGGCGATTGTCCAGTAACATATGAATCTCGTCGTATATGTAATTGCTGTCGATTAGCAAAATGTTTTCGTGTTGGAATGCAAAAATCATTAATTTTATCCGACGCTCAGAGATTAGCACGAAAAGAACTCGTTCAACAAAATCGACTGAAGCGTGGGCAATCAAAGGCACAGAATTTAAGTTTAGTACGTACGACATATTTATCTATAAGGACACATAGAAGAAAATATAATTAGAAAAAATGTATGACTTCTAAGATATATTAAATAGTGATAAAGTTTTATAGATGATAGACTAATAATTAAACGATAACTGGACAAATAATTCAAAATTCTTTTTATTATGATCGAAGACAAAAATCATTTGAGAATAGTATATGCATTAATTGCTTGTCTTCGTTGAGAAATGCCTGAAATATATCAGTCAATATTCATCCTACACTAAAAATACTAGTGTATACATTGTTATTAGATAATTTTAGACATAATGATTCTTTATTTGCAGTTTATTCATCATCCTGAGAATTTCGATAACTGAGTACTTACAATGTTCGATATGTATTCTCAAGGCACTACGTTCAAAATTTGTTACCGCCAGCTATGAAGCGACTCTCGACAACTCACTAGCAGTTGTTTATCTAGAAACATCTGTTCGATAGCATGCCGACTACGTTATAACATACACCTGCTATTGTAGTTAGTGAATTTTATGGGGAGCGCAAACAATTGAGCACAAGAACTCTGCGTCAGATCGGCTTTCTATCTAGAGGTATAGTTAGTCATAGTTTTAGGAAAGATATCGGACTAATGAGTCTGTCACCAAGCAAAGTTTCATACTGTAAAGAAATTGAAATTCAGAAATATTCTTTCTTTTTTCTCCTTCCTCATTGTTTATAATCATTAGAGTAGAGTAAATGACAGTTCACTTCCTTTTGATTACAAAAGAATGAAAATTTCCTAATTTATTTACGAGTTAGTCATGATATATTTAATTTTCTTCATTTCACTCTTTTTGATTAAAAATTTTAGCAAAAAAAAGAAAATGTCTTAAGGTTTATAAGAAAATTTACATTCAGAAATACACAAGAAAAAAACTATATTGTTCATCTACATTAAAAAAAGGAAAAGATACAGTAATATGAAGGAGTATTCAACAAGGAACAAAGCATATAAATTTACTATTTACAGATTCGACCAGCGACTCTATGTTATTTGGGACAAAACAGCTCAGCATATTTATCATCATCTGATCAAACTCTTCTTACTAATATATTTAATACTTACAGACAAATATTTGAAATAACAACTAAATGTCAATATCAACCATTTCCGGCAATAGAACATAAAAGTGTGCATACGTTTCTCAATGAATATGAAGAACGACACAAAATTTTAATTGCATACTTTAAATATATTCCTGAATTTAATAACTTATTCATAGATGATAAAATACGTTTACTTCGAAATCATTTTGGAGGAATGATTACTATGAATGAATTAATGCTGGCTAGATGTATGCATGAAAAGGCAATAGCTTCAATCAATAATATCTTTGGTTTTAATCTAGCCAAGGATATTATAGAAGCTTCAGAGCGAATACTTCCATATACATATGATCCTATTTTACTTAAACTTATTCTTATTGTTCGAAGTTTATCGAGTGGTATTAATAGATATCGTAAAGATACAGATATGGATCGTATTTTTAACAATACATTAGCAGTATTTGCTGGTCAAAGTGTTTATGTTGAATTATTATGGCGATATATCATGTCAAAAGTATCGTCCGAACAAGATGCAGTAAAATTTTTCAACAAACTTATCTTAGATTTACTTTATCTTCAACGTTCTTGCTTTGCCATAGAACGCAACATGTATCGTCTAGGACATGAAATAGAACAAATGAAGCCATTAATGCAAAGTATGTGGCCTAGAATTGAAAACATTGATGAGATAGATTATGATAATGATATGGATATGGAACCTTGCTTATAGTATAATAAGAAAAATCAAACAAATCGATTGATATATTTATAATCAATATCGATAACAACTTTCATTTTTATAGAATGAATCTATTTGAACAAGTTTGATGATCACTATTGACGAAGGTTTCTTCAATATTTATGAAAAAAATAGACAATGCGTACTAGCATCATTCAAATGTATTATAATTAAAATAAAACCAAGCTTTATATTATTGTTTATATTGGTAATTAAGTATGAACAGTATTGTTTATTTATATATATATATGTGAAAATTGCTATATTTTATTTTTATTTTCTCGCAAAAACGATGTCAAATTTCAAAATAATTTCATTTTTTTTGTTCTTTCAGATGTATTTCAAATACAAATAATAATAATTTATTTGAATTTATTTTATTTATTGAAAAATACTATCATCGGAAAATATTCTCTTCTGTTTCGAACGAGGGAATCTCACCAATTGATATCCTCCGTTTGAGCTCAGTTTTTGCTCATAATTAGGACTATTAGTTTTGATAAAGAATTCTAAAACCATTCTTTTCATTAGGTATTTCTTCTCGAGTGATCATCATTTTTCTGAGTTTCTAGTGTATTGTTGAGTATTATGAGCACAACTAAATCAAGGAAATATAATCTGAAATTTCGTCCAACAATAGATCTCATCGTTCTTATGATATTCTGCAAATTTTAATCAACATCGATTTCAGTTTGAAATTCTTCGGTTTAGTTTCGCTCGTAATATTCTCCAATAGACTAGAAGTTCAGTCAAATGATCATAACGCGAGAAAAAACTTAGAGGACGGAATTCTTGTTTGGGTTTTTATCTATGCAATAAGTCCCAATCATGAGGAAAATATGAGCTCAAACAGAAAGTATCAGGTGGTGAAATTCCTTCATACGTCAAGCTAAAATTTCTACATTATGTAACATATATGTTTGAAACTAACATTGGAAATTAAGATAGTCAAAGTCCTATAGATAACATCATATCTTACTTTATAAATGTAGAATAAATTTTAAAAAAAAAGTTTTTATTTATATAGGATATTTAATGACACGATACGGAAAAGGAAACAGTAAATCATGAAAAACTTGATTCAATATTGAAGAAATATCGCATTTCCATTTTTCAAGCCTCGTATAGAAATTTGGATGAGCATAAAGATTTTTTTTAATTCTTAATTGGTAAAGTTATAGGATGAAAAAGAAGAGAACAATATTATCTTTTATCATTTTAATTGATAAAATAACAAAAATATATCCCATTAGACAGAAAAACATGCGTATAGAAAAATTACATATACAACGAAGGCTTATATCTATCTAATCGATTGTTTTTTTTATAAAAATAAAATTTGAATAAATAAAACTTCTTCATACTGATGAATTCATGCAAATTTCTAAATGAAAATAGCTATTTTTTTTAATTTTTAGATTATATCTATTTATAATTAATTAATATACAACAATGGAAAACTTTTACAACTTAATAATGTACAAGATGTCTTTAATCAGTCCGATTTTCATCAATAATTCAAAACATGAAAATATATTCTAAAATTTACTGGACATATTATTGGAGTAGATATTATATGACGATAATTTAGTTCATGTTTAGTATGTAATAATGTTGCTTTTGGGTATTAATTCTAGTTATACCAACATGTACGTCATATAAAGCATTTTTTTGATCAAACGCAGTTAAACTTGATGTATGTCAATTTTTCTCTACTTTTCATTTGTTTACCTTTACGGCTCTTTTTTTTTCTTAGAGAATCGAAAATTATTAGTCGAGAAGGTAATAATTGCACAACAACATATATATCTCGCCGTAAGTGCAGTTTTTGCTGAATAACAAAATTTTTTCGTATTAGTATACAAAAATTATTCATGCACTCGAAAGACGAAAATAACTTACGAAAAGAATCTGAGAAAAAAATAGAGAAAAACATATGCTGTAGTCCGTAGTTCAATGTTTAGGGTTGGTACGTACTTTTTATTTATATATATTTATATAAGTACCTATTAAATATTGTTTGAGATGAATAATAAGTATTGAAATGACTTCACGAGAAATTGAGGGACTAAATGAAAATTTAATACTATTATTCGTTCTACATTTCAAACACCAAATTTAATACGCATTGGACTTTTCTTAATGAAGAAGTCAACCATATTAGTTGGTATTTGTTGTAGAATACAACTGATAGAAAAGTATTTCTCAGTGAATATTATCACATATGATTAAGGTAGATATAATCTATAGATTATTCAGCAAGCGAACGACTATTTAAAATTGTTGTTTTTTTTTCCTAAAATTTTATAGAAGTTTTATTTATTATTTATCGTTATGATTAGATATTTTTACTTAAAATATTACTAATATATAAACAAACAAAAATACAGAAGAAAAATCATTCAAAATTTATCGACTAGTTCAATAAGAGAATATCAATATTTTTTGAAGTTAACCTACGGTATGAAAGATTTATCTAAATCAATCGATACATCTCTTATGTTAAGATATGATCATTGTAATTTAAACTTCTGAGTAAAAACATTTAAAATAAGCACATTCATATTATTACTAGAAAACTTTAAGTATGAGAAAAGATGTTACCAATATAGATTTTGCCAATATTTATGTTTAAACAAACGTACTATATTTTAAATATCTCAATCATAGGATAATTTCATATACTAGAAATTAAAGGATATTTATAGTTCATATAAAATGAGATACTATCAAATTTTTTAACAAGATTTATAATACTTGAAGTTAAGAAATTCCATACTTCAAATAATTTTATATAAATCAAAACAACAAAATTTCAATCTTTCCTATTGGTATAGATTCGATCATTGAACTTACATCGTTCGACATATAATCAATTCATATATTTATCATAATGTGATCAATGTCTTCCTATAAATATTTTGAATGGACTCGTTAAACATTAAAAATTCAATACCTGAATATTACACTACTATCGAACATTAATCTATTCACACATTATTCTAGAATTTAATAAATTATCAATTTATGATAAAGTATGTTTAATTAAAAAACCATCTTGCTACGATGATAAACATCAACAAATTCATTCTTGATAGCTTTCACATCATATGTTTTATCAATTTCTATCAAAAATAATATTCACTGTTCATCTAATAACAAATGTGTTATACTTTGCTCAATTGCTATGTGCATGTATAGGCATGATCAAATGTTACTCAAACTTCTTTATTGTTCGAAGTTTTGTCAAACGATATTAATAGAGATCGTAATGATATAGATATATGGATCATATTCATAATAACCTTCATTTAATATAGAAATGTATTTTATTATGTTTACTATTAAAATAAGATGCAGTGAAGTTCTTCAGCAAATTTATTCTAAATCTGCTTATAGTTGTAAGTGTCAGTTTGTCGCAATAAGAGTTTTTCTATTATTATTCCTTATAATGGAGATATTTATGTTTTTTTTAGTTAGTAAGACTAGACGTATTCGAATCAAACTAGGACTTTCACTGTCAAATTAATAAATTTAAAATACCGATTGCCAAGCAGACGTAGTCATATTTAAAGGTATTTAGAATATATGTAAGACGTTCGCAATTCATAATATCAGCGGAATATTTTTTTCTGTAATGATTGGATAGAGCTCATTGATTTGCATAAGAAAAAGTAGGTTATGAAAAATGTTCAAGATATTATTTTCTTTAAATGTAAGAGAAAATAGATTCAAAATTCTAAATTTTGTAAAAAAAAAAATTTTCTTTAAAATTTGAAGTATACTTTTTCTAATGCAATATCATCAACTTTATTGGACCATTATAAAAACACTTTTCTGATAGTGTAAATTGCGAGTAACTTACATATATTATAAATATTTTTAAACTCAAATACCTCGGTCAGACAATCTGTATTTTGAATTTGTTGATTTGGTAGTGAAACCTTTTATTTGATCCTACTATGTTTAACCTTATTTAGTTAACAACAAAAACACTTCCATTGTTAGATAAAAAAACCTATTATTATAAAACATATAGTTTTGATTGAAAAAACAATACCCATGTAAAAATAAATCAAGAAAAAACGGGATTTTAATCGATTTTTTTGTGATTAAAATGAGACGATTTTCATCAGATTCCTTGAATTTTAATCAATTTTAATCGATTTTAATCAGACTTCTTGTCTTTTATTCGATTATTTTTGATTTTAATCAGTTTTAATCGATTATAATTGATTATTCTTGTTTTAATGAATTTTAATTGATTATTTAATTTTTAATCCTTTTTAAACACGATAACCAAAGAATGCGTAAGCACAGATCGTTATTATCTCACGAATTCAGCGATGTCTGTCCGAGGTTGGTTTGATGCTGTGTCTACTATTTGTCGACGCGAGGAGTCAAATAAAACGATAAAAAGCTATAATTTCTGGGCTAAAGGTCGAGAAAAACGCAGTTTTTCGTTAACGTGATTAAAATTCAAGGAATCTGATTAAAATTTGATGAAAATCGTCTCATTTTAATCGATTTTTAATCACAAAAAAATCGATTAAAATCCCGTTTTTCTTGATTTATTTTTACATGGGTAGAACTTGATAAAAGATCTGTTCATTATAGAAAATATTAACTCATCAATGATCAGTTAATATTGAAATCATGGTAATTCTTACAAGCCACAGCAATACAAAAAATAATAATAATAGAAGCAGATGAAATGGTATGAATTTGTGGCAAACATACGAACTTCTACTATGGTTTCTGTTGAAATTAGAATATTATTATTCATAAAATAATCTTACATCTTCATAATACGAATGTTATTTTGAATTGCTTGTTCTTTCTATGTAGCTATATTCATTACGATTTCTTTTGTGTGTAAAATATTGTTTCTTGTTTTATTTCATTTTTCTCAATCTCAATTAACAATATTTATTTCAGAAAAGTATTTTTGTTTATTTTCTATTATTTTAGATTAAATTTCTTGAATCTTGATAAATCTCAAGAATATTCATCTTCTGTTATAAATTAGAAGATTATTAGAATAATTTCAAATAGATCATTTTTTTTCTTCTATAAATATAAAACTAGAAAATATTTGTAGATAGATATAATTATTATGACTCTGAATAGGATGGTAATGAAAAGCAATTCTTGTGTTTTATTGAATATACTGATGTAAAAACTTACAAGCAGCATACTAACTATGATAAAATTGATGAAGACTATTAAATTCTTCTAGATACACGTAATATTTTTTAAGATTCTTTTTAATGAAGACGACATTTATAGAAAGTATAGCTATTCAAATATAAATATTAGATGCTCAATCCAATCTTAAATCTCACGAGACAAGTCTGCCAATTGACTAATTACTTTCAAAGCAGAACTATATGAATCATGTAGACATAAGTGAACTACAAATAAACTGAAACGTGTTCGTGTCTTTAGCTGTTGGTTACGAAGACACAACATTTTTATGATATTTATTAATTGAATGTCATGATCCCTGTTAGAAACATCAATGAAACTTAATTTCGAATTTCATCTTGAAAATTTGTACTGAAACAGGCCTTAATGAGAACAATTTATGATAGGAGTGTGATGTTATTGCTTGGCTAAGACACGATTTTACCATAGTCGTATCTTAGGATAGGAACAACGAAAAGATCTATAGTTTTCACAATGAACTATTCTCATTAACATCTATCTTTGTACAAATTTTCGAGTGGGGATTCGAAAAAAATTATTTTTTCATGGTATTTCTAACGGAAACCGCCACTTTGAATTAGTAAATACCATAAAAATGCAGTATCTCCGTAGCAATTAGTTAAGGACTCAAGAATTTTGTCAGAATACTTACAGCTTACTAAAGTCAACGTAATCCCCGAGTGAAAAGCTAATAATTAATTGGAAGATGTCCTTCGACAGCTTTTCATCTTAAATCATCAAAGTAATATTTGAGTTTTTATTAAAATGATAAAAGAAGAAGACTACTTAAAGTTCGTATTTCTCATATCAGGTGATTTTAATAGATTTCATTGAAATAATAATTTGATAATGTGACTCTTTTTTTTTCTAGCATAAAAATGTCTGAAAAAAACTGTGATTTAAATCATTGTAATATTACTTTTCGACAAATCGTTCTTTGTACGTTCATTCAATTTTATAAGTACCATTATTAATCTTTTTAATATGTATTATGTATGCATATATTTGCCTGAATCATCGAAACTAATGTCCTATTTTTTTCCTGTTGATAATTGAAAAGAACACATGAAAATATTATCAATCAGTCAAATATATATATATTATGTCAAATTTCTCATCATATTTTAGATAATATATCGAAATAAAACAACAAACGTACTATCATCACTTAAGAAAAACTTTTATTCATTTTTCATCTTGTGTTAAAAACGAAATTTTTTTTTATTATGAAATCATCAACGACACGAACCTTTAGTCCATGTTTAGTTTGTGGTGATAAGTCAATTGGTTTTAATTTTGGTGTATTATCATGTATGGCATGTAAAGCATTTTTTCGACGAAATGCTGTTAAACTTGGTGTAAGTCATATATATATATATATAGAGATAAAAATAACTGAAAGATCATTGTTATTTTAGACTTATGAGTTTATTTGTCCTAAAGATGGCGATTGTCCGATAACGCATACATACCGTCGTTTATGTAATTGTTGTCGTTTAGCAAAATGTTTTCGTGTTGGAATGCAGAAAGATTTAATACTTTCCGAAGCTGCAAAAGAAGCAAGACGACAAACTGTTGCACAAAATCGTCAAAAACGCGAGCTAGCATTACAAACGAAATGTTTAGATTTAGTAAGTATGAACATATTTAATTAAACTTAATAAATATTAAAGTAAAATGTATACAACAATTGTTTTAAAAGATACTATAATATTTTACATAAAAACTTATTTGAAACAAAGAGTTTTTCAATTTATTACGTATCTATATTGAACTATTCGTTGAGTATTTGTTCGACATAAATCTTACAACTATTGAAGATATTGGAAAGAGTTCTTTTTGTTAAAAAAAAAAACTACAAGAGTTATTTCTATAAATGAAGATTTATGTAATTTATTTCGATGTATTAGTAATATTAGAATATAATATAATAAATAGAGTAACCTCTACTAATATTAAGTCTTTGATATGTTTTTTTTTCTTTATATTCAAACATTAAGTTGATGTATCATATTGTATACGTTAGAAATACATAGTTCTTCCTCTCAACCTAGCTGTTGGTGTTTGCACTGTTCTTTTTATTAATTTGTCTTTTCTATGTGCGCAATAATGAAAAAAAAGTACTTTCATCTCTTTCTTTTTAGACTCGTTACCTTAGTCGGAGAAAAAAAAATCTTTCCATCATACGCTTCATTTTCTTAATTTGCTTCTTCTAGGTGATGGTTACATACACATGCGCATGACAGATATATATTAAAACACAATGTTAGTTTGTCTTTGTGAGTAGATTAAGTGAGGCAAGGAAAAAGAATACATTCCTTTGTAAGTAATGCATCCACTTATCCGTTTTTTTTTGTTAATTACAAAAAAAAACGGATAAGTTTTACAGAAAAAATACGATTGTATGTGTTTTTCTGTAATATCCAAATATTTATTCTATCTTATATCAATAGAAGACTTTAAAAAAAAATATATATTTTTGTGAACTAAAATAGTAAGAATAAATTTTATTATTTTTATTAGATTCCAGTATCAAAAATAAAACATTTACCATGTATTCAATTATCAGATGATTTATCTCAATCTGATAGTATTCTTCTTGGAAATATTTATAATGCATATGAATCAACATGTATGACAGTAAAATATTCTGAAATTCCAGATTTTCCTTCAAGAAAACATACAAAATTATTTGAATTTTTAAATGAATATTCTTCTATACATAAAGTATTAATTGAATATTTCAAAATTATACCAGAATTTAATAATTTATCTATTTCTGACAAAATATGTTTAATAAGAAATCAATTCGGTGTTATAATCAATATCAATGAAGCTATTATTCATCCTGGTATAACAACTAATTTAGTTGTTTCATTAACAAATATATATGGTATACATATAACTAATCGTCTTTTAAAATCTATTGAACGAATTGTACCATTTACTAATGATCCAATTATACTTAAAATTCTTCTCGTTATTGGTGCATTATGTAGTGGAAATTATCGAAATCGTAATGATAATGAAATGGATCAAATATGTAATGATACATTGTCAATATATTATGCACAAAATGTTTATGTTGAATTATTATGGAAATATATTTTATCACGTTCATCAAATGATTTCGATGCAGTGAAATTTTTTGATAAATTAGTTCAATTTTTACTTTATTTATTAGATGTTCATTTACTTACTGATGGTTTTATAAATAATCAAGTTCATGAAATTCAACGAATGGAACCATTAATGCAAAGTATGTGGCCTAAACCAAGTACAGATGAGATTACTTTCATAAATGATATCCATATGGAACAGTATTAAGATATCTCAAACAACAAATATATATGTATCGTCTGCAATAAGTCTCTAATTGTGGCCTGTCTTGAAGATCTGTCTTTTTTTGCTTTTTTTGTCAACATTATCTTCTAACGCTAAAAGCTTGATGTCTTCCTTTATATATTTAGCTAAATGTCAAGTAGATCTTGTCGTAAATTTATTGACTGAATCATTTTTTTTTTCTATGATCATTGTTCAAACGATATTTAAAAAATAAATTATTCGATTTTAAAGCTATTGTATTATATGTTTGTTCGTATAGCAATAAGTTGTGTATCTTCTTTATTGTGTCGTTTATTTTGTTTCAACAAGATATGATGAGATCTTATAAACAGAATGTTATTTTTGATGTCATCTCACCCAGTATATAGTGTTTGAACCGATGAAATTTTCGAAAATCTATTGTTTTTGATTTGAAAGTAAATATTTTTTTATATGTTATTAATTGTTCGAGATTATAAAATCATTAATATAATTAAATAACTGTATTTCATGCAGCCATTGTAGTTCTGTATAATGATGGTTTTTAGAAACATTTTTTTTTTGTGTTTGTTTCTTTTAGATAACATATTTCATTGTATATGAAATACATTAAAAAATAAAATAAAAATCATTATTAATTAAAATTAATCTTATTTATCTTTGATTTTCTATTAAAAATAACGTAGTTTTTTTTTTTATGAGTTCATTAACATAATCAGTATGTGGTAAGAAATCAATTGATTATAATTATTGTGGGTTTTTTTTCGAGGAAATACTGTTCGACTTGGTGTAAATTCTTTTCTTAGCTTAAGTAAGTGATAGGTGTCTGAACTGATCATTATAGTTAAATCAAATTCAAAAGACAGAGGAATGAGCATGAAAATAACTTAGTTATATTATCATTTCTGCTCACTATTTTCTTAATATTTCCAGAAAGGAAAGAAAACAATATAGGGTTTCGATTAATCTTGAAAGTTCGTAGGAAAGGCTACAAAAATCTACTAGTTTTCGATTATTTTTAGAAGTGGCTTCTGTTAAGTAAGACGACTTTCATTTCGTTTAGACATCATTTGTTTAAATTTTTTCAGCGATCTATGATAGATTTCGATCGAAGAAAGTAGGGTTTGAGCCAAAACAAATAATATATTTGAAATCAGCATAATAAAGTGAGTGAACCAATATGTGTTTGAAAGTTTTTTAACAAACATTTTCTTCCTTGAAAAGAATTTAGCTGGAGCCACCCTCACAGTCAAATGAAAAAGTACATTTAATGAAAATACTTTTATTTCTCAGTTATTTATTCTCTTGTTTATTAATGACATTTTACAGATTCATAACTTATTTTCCATTGATCAGATGATTTTCTAAAATTGTGACAATTAGACTGATGTTTTATACTTTTTGCAGTTGGTGAATTTTTCTTATAGATGCGAAAGAAACTAGATTGAAGACAAGTATCTAGCTGAGGACGAAGATGAAAACGGCATTTATGGTTGGTGATCAAGTAAGAGTGAAGACAAACTCTTCAGAACTATTACTCTCCTTTTATACAGTTCAAATGTGTTATATACTATTCATAAATAAATCGGATAGTTTACATAAACCATATAAATCTCAATATCTCCATATATATGCATGCTTGTAAAAATATATATGTCTATCTACAGTAGGATTTCCGAAAATGAAGTATCTAATACATGTAAAAGAAACTAATAGGAAAAGAAACACCATTTAATTTTGTATTAAAGCTCATTATATATCTATCCTATAGGTTTTATTCTGCTCCTATTTCATTGTCATAATAACAAGATAAAAATTGTTGGGTGCAAAGCCTAGAAAGAAACAAATTACCTTTTAGAAAAATCTTCTATTTATTAGTTTCATATATTTTTTACTGCTATAGGCAAATATTTATAAAAGAAGATTACTTTTTTCATTAAATATATTTATAAAGGCTTGAATATGAAAAAAAAAAACTTATTTTCTTCAGGTATCATTGCTCTTTTTTCTTTGAGTATGCCATGGATTAATTGCAGATATTTCAGATGAAGTATAATATTATAATGTGTTTTAGTCAAAATCATAAATTTTCATCATTTGTTTATCTAAAATTAATTAATCTTCAATGATATATTACGTAGAAAATATTAGAAACCAATTACATTCTCTAGATTCATTATATTACCAATGCCAAACAACGATCAAGGTCGATGTTTAGTATGTGATGATGTTGCCATTGGTATCAATTTTGGAATACCAACATGTATGCCATGCAAAGCATTTTTTCGACGAAATGCAGTTAAACTTGGTGTAAGTTAACTTTTGACATTGAATTATTTTCGTAGCACAAAATTTTTTGTTTTTGTTCTTCTCTTCTTTAAAGACTCGCGAATTCGTATGTCAACACAATGGTGAATGCATAGTAACATATAAATATCGTCGTTCATGTAATTGTTGTCGTTTGGCAAAATGTTTTCGTGTTGGAATGAAAAAATCCTTTATACTTACTAATGAAGAACGTGAAGCTCGAAATAAACTTGTTGCAACAAATCGTCTTAAACGTGGGAAAATACCTAAACTACAATGCATTCCTTGGGTATGTAGTACATAGATAATAGAAAATTTTCAAATTGAATTTCTATTTGAAAATGTATAAAATGATAAATAAATTGGAGAAACGAGAATATTCGATAAATGTCATTTTCCAGAAAGACTTTTGGAAATAAGTATTGAACTATTTAGTGCACGATCTCAACCTTTTTGTTTCTCATTGAGCATAATTGTTGAGATAAAAAGTTCTAAGGTTTAATCATACTCTGTGATTATAGATCTGCAAAACTATGTTTTGTCGTAACTGTTTTGTTATCCATCTTGGTAGCTTTTCTCCCCATTGGTCTCAGAAATATTATCTGTAAATGTGGTAGATGTATCATTGAAACTAAACAATTCTCTCAATGAGATGATGGTATCATTACATGCTTATATCTTTGGACATATAGTGAAAACTGCTTTCTCTTCTAATGAGCAATTCTTAAAATCTACAAATACTTGTGCATATTTGATCTTCGGATGTCTCCTAGAGACTAGTTTTATATATTAAACATATAAATTAGAATACTAAGTCTAAGTATATTTCACGAGTAAAATCAATCTTCCACTGACGAAGAAGTCTTGCCATGTGATGAATAGATTTTAAGATGAAAATCATCTTCTAAACTAAAGCTAGTTCAAAGTAAATAGATGTTAGAGTGCTTCATCTCCATTAGTGTTCTCAAATAGTAACAGGATATTTGGAGACAGTTCGAATGGTGTAGCTTCAATGTTAAAACTTTGCTTTTACAAAACTCTCATGAATTTTTATATTTTCAAAAGGTTTCAGGAAAACGACTATAACAACTCTCAAAATATGGACTACCCACACAATACATTTTTTTTTCGTCACAAAATACACTGAAAATTTAGCTTTCTTAACAGTCATATGTTTCGAGAAGGATTAGTTCATTTTGCTTGAAATTGTTTCTCATATTCTAAAAACTCTGAAACTTTTCATTAAGCAAAGTTTCATATTGAAACTATACTATTCAAACCATCTCTGAATACTTTAGTACTATTCGAAAATCTGATAAAGTCATCATAAGTTCAGACCGAAGACCCATGGAAATACGTTACTTGAATATCTTCTAAGTTTCATTGAATTTTAATGAAAGAGATAAATTTCATCATAACACATTTTTGAAACTTGAAGAAATTGCTTCAACAGCATAAAATCAAGATTAGTTACATATAAATAATAAATATTAACTATAGATGCGTCCACCATCTTTACTTCGTATTACAACGAATCCAGCTGAATGGTTATCTTCCACTGATCAAGTTCTTCTTGCAAATATTTTCAATGCATATGAAAACACTTGTATAGTAGCAAGAAATACAACCTTACAAAATTTCCCTGCTGTTCAACATACATCTATACATGGATTTGTCAATGAAATGTCTTCTGAATTCCAAGTGTCTATAGAATATTTAAAACTTGTACCTCAATTTAATAATCTCATCTTGGATGATAGAATACGTCTTATAAGAAATCATATCGGTACGATAGTTCATATAAATGAACCTTTAATGCATCCAGTGGCACCTGTTAATCTTGTTATCACATGGACTAATATTTTCAGTCTTGATATAACCAAACGTTTATTAACACGTCATGAAATTATTGAACAATATCTTTTTGATCCTATTATATTAAGAGTTGTTCTCATTATTCTTGTACTTTCAAGTAGTAATTGTAGAAATATTGATCATACAGATATGGATCTTATTTGTGATGATTCATTATCTATATTTGCAGCTCAAAATATATATATTGAACTATTATGGAAATATCTTCTATCACGTTCACCAAATGAAAAATCTGCAGTGAAATTTTTCAATAAATTAATGATGTATATATTATTTGCACAAAAACTTCATTTGGAAATAGATGATTATGTTGATAGTTTAAAAGATGAAATCCAACAAATGGAACCAATGATGCAAAGCATGTGGCCAAGAACAGATGATCAAGAAGATATGCATGATATGACTATAGCTCAGGATATTACTTTGTGATATAAAATTAATTGTTTAGTTTTTATAAACAATCAATATGACAAGGATTTATGTTGCTTAAATTTAATTATTGTTCAATTTAAATGTCTATTTATCTCTGATTTCCACGAATAGCAAAATATTTATCTTGCTGAAGTTTTTCACCTAATTAATTTTTTATTTTCGTTTATTTTTTTGTAGAGTAGCACAATTTTCAAACCACGTTTATAATATATATATATATACATTTGTATATAAATGACGTTTTCAATAACAAATAGATGAATATGGAAACATATAAGTCTTGAGTGTTTTTGTGTGATTTTTTCTATCCACATTTTCCAAAAAATTGACAAATATTTTTATTATTCTTCTAGATAAATGAATCTGTAGTCAATTTGCGTTACTTACTTCTATTCTAGTTTGATTTACATCTATCTCGCTAGAAGATTTTCGACGAAATACTCATGAAAAAGACTATTATAGAAATTATTTTTTGTTTACAACAGTAAAAACTAAATTCAAATTACAACTATTACGTTCATTTTGTTCAATTGATCAATGTTGATGAGATACAATATATTATTTTGATTTATATGTATCTTCATGTACTAATACAATCTGTAATGCTTTGGACTTATTTTTACATTTAATACATTATCGATGAATGATACAATTATTAGAATAAAATTTCTTTTAATTAAATGGTAATTTAGTTTTAGATACAATTACCAGTATGTAAGTTGTAATGCTTAATAAATTTATTTACGAAGTATACTTGATACTAAACATGTAAGCCATGCAGTATTCAGCGGTGTCAAGTGAATCTATTCTGACTTTTTCCTCTGTCATCATCATCGCATGAAAATGTTTAATACTTGTTAAACTTCGAGCAGCAGTTGAAAGTTTTCTATAGTTTTGTTAAAAACTTTCTTAATTCTGTGCAATTTTGGAATGAAAAACCAAGCAAATGATACTAGAGAACGTGATGATAAACGACTAAGCAAGAATATTTTCGAGAAATGATCCGACAGTGCGGCTACACCGTGAGAACGCTAACGATTGCGGTTCAGCTGATCGATACCACATCTCTGTTTGATATCGCTTTAAACATTTGTTCTTAAAATCGATTGTATTGATTGAATCATATAGATAGAATCTCTAGTAACAAAAAGAATTCCTTTTTGGGTTTCTAACCTTAGCAGTTTTTTTGAATCATACCCATGCATTAGAATGTATCTGCTGAATAAAATTCATTTTCTTTCGTCCAGTCTATATTTGACGTTTAAAATGTCTTGTTTGTTTTTTGATAGTTTTCTAATGTTCAGCTTATTAATTTATATTCGTTGGTCAACAAGCCTTGCCAAACGACTCATAAACAATTAGCAAATCTACAGAGAATAAAAGCTATATGATTGTTGAATCGAAAATTATATTTGCAATATTTTACTAAAAATATTTTTCTCTAAAATCATTTAAGAGTTACGGTTATAACTTTCGCTATTTACTTTGTTATCTAAAATATTTAAACTAAAATGTGGAACACTTAAAGAAAAAAGCGATTAAAATGGATTACAACGGTACACGTTGTAGAATTGAAACTATTTTAGTGTTCTTTTAGATAAAACATAAAATACAATGGATTACTTAACAGTCTATAGCTTGTACTCATTTATTCCTGTAAATTTACTGGCATTCCATTAACTGTTGTGTCAAAAATACTCGAAATAAATCACATTCTGCAGTTTTAAAATATTTCAAATGCCAAACAAACATTATGGTCGATGCTTAGTATGTGATGATGTTGCCATTGGTATTAATTTTGGAGTATCAACATGTATGCCATGTAAAGCTTTTTTTCGACGAAATGCTCTTAAACTTGGTGTAAGTTACCTTTCGATACTGTACTATATTCGAAATACGAACTGTTTTTTTTTTTGTTTTCTTTAAAGACCCAAGAATTTATTTGTGAAAGTGATGGTGATTGTGTGATAACATATAAATATCGTCGTTCATGTAATTGTTGTCGTTTGGCAAAATGTTTTCGTGTTGGAATGAAAAAATCATTCATACTTACTGATGAACAACGTGAAGCTCGAAATAAACTTGTAGCAGTCAATCGTCTTAAACGAGGCCGACTACCTAAACCAGAGAATCTTGCGTGGGTTAGTATTAAATAAATATTTCAAATCAATCAACTAAGCTCAGATTCATAAGAAAACAATATGTGAATGGAGATATAATTATATAAGCCTAATAAATATATGTTTTTAGTGAAAACCATGTCATTAACATCAATAGGAATCATGAGACAAATATTGTAGATACTAGCAAATCCAAGATTATTGTTTTCAGAAAAAAAAACAGGTTTTGCGATTCATGTTGACATATAGAATGTTAGGTGCGGATAACCTTTCTTAATGCTAGACTATAATCGATTTAGTGATGAATTCTTTCTCTCGACGCCGTCTAAACTCATGAACTAATGAATTATGTGTTTATCGAGATTTTACTGATCTATATTTCTGCGCTAAGAAAATCTTAGATCTAGTGCTAAAAGCGTGAACATACACATAGCAATCTTAGATGACCTCTCATTCTCGGTAGACTCGAACAAGAAGTCGTAACAACATGGGTCATGCAATAAGTAGACAATCTTGAAATAATTAATATTAAAATCAATATTAGATGAAAGTTAGGTAGAATCAGAACGATACAGAAGCAGTAGTGCTGAAGTACGAATATTTCTTGTTTGACAAATATTGCATCGTGTGATGAGCATTCAACCGATCACTGTGCGTGTTTCATTATTGCCCTGTAGCTATTTCGTGACACTGATCGATACGGTTAGTAGCTTTTCAATATTACCAATTGTTTACTTTTGTGTAGAAACGATACGAATCAGTTATTACTGTTCACAATATTTACGAACTGCACCAGCATATTTTCGTTGTACAGTTTTAATAGATTTTTTTTTTCATACTCGCAATATAGTTTGTTTTCAAACAAATGGATAAATTATGTTTTAAATTATTTTTTATTTATAGATGCAATCGCCATCGTTACTCCGCATGTCATCAAGTTCATTGCAATATCTTTCTTCATCTGATCAAGTTGTTCTTACTAATATCTTCCATGCATATGAAAACACTTGTGGAGTAGCAAAAAATACTATCTTCCAAAATTTTCCTGCTATTGAACATACTTATATGCATGAATTTATCAATGAAATGTCTTCTGAAATCGAAATCACTATTGAATATTTAAAACTTATACCCGAATTTAATAAATTTATCATAGATGATAGAATACGTCTTATAAAAAACCATATGGGTACAATACTTCATATAAATGAACCTCTAATGCTTCCGACGCCGTCTATTAATCTTATTGGAGCATGGACCAATCTCTTTGGTGTCGATATAACCAAATGTATTTTCAAACGTAATAAAATTATTGAACAGTATTTGTTTGATCCTATTCTATTAAAAATTGTTCTAATTATTCTTATATTTTCAAGTAGTAATAGTAGAAATATTAATTATATAGATATAGATTTAATTTGTGATGATTCATTATCTATCTTTCTTGCTCAAAATATATATGTTGAACTATTATGGAAATATCTTCTATCACGTTCATCAAATGAACGTGATGCAGTGAAGTTTTTTAATAGATTAATCATGTTTATATTATATGCACAAAATCTTCATTTGGAAATGGATGATTATGTTGATAGTTTAAAAGATGAAATTCAACAAATGGAACCAATGATGCAAAGCATGTGGCCAAAAACAAATGATGATGAAGATAATAATGATGTGACTATAATTCAGGATATTAGTCTGTAATAATAAAATGATTGTTTATTGTTAAATACAATGAATTAAACAAAGATTAGTGTTAAATAATTTTGATATTCTTCAATTCAAATTTCCGTCAGCCTTTGATTATCAACAATCTGGTGATATTTAATTTGCTCATGATTTAAAAGTAGTTGTATTGTTATTGTTTATTTGTTTTTTGTATAGTACTATAATTTCCAAGTTACATTTATAATATATATTTGTATCTATATAACGATTTAAATAAGGAATTAGGGAATATGTAAATGTGTTCGTTATCAATTTTTTGTTTGACAATTCTATATTATGATGCCTGACTTGAATGAAAATGTTTTTTGCTTTAGATGAATAAAATCCTAGGAGAGATATGCGATTTATTTTTATCTTGAAATGATACAAATTTATCATCGTTGGAGAATGTCGAAAAGAAGATTCATGAAAAGGATTATTATAGAAATTAGTTTTTGTTTGCTCAAATTAAATATAGATTTAAATTACAACTAATATGTTGAATTCGTGAACATGAACATTCGTGATGAAATACAAGTTATTATCAATAGATGCAATATGATTTCGTTGAATGGTGATCAGTAACAAACTCAATTAGTAGTAGGTGAGTTTTAGTACCTAATTAATTTTTTTTAACGAATTACAAATATTTATATTAGAGATGTCAGCCAATGCATAATGAATCGCAACTGAAAATATTTTTTTCTTTTTTAGCTTTTTACGACGGCGAACAAAAGTATTCGATACCTTTTTTTAAACTTTCTTAGTTTTGGGAAATTTTTGCGTGAAAAACGGAATAAATGATGGTAGAAAACGTGATCATAAGTAATTATACAAGAACATCGTCGAACATTGATCCTGGATTTCAAAAATTGTTGTATATCTTCGAAATATCTCTATACTCTAACGACAGTACAATCAATCGTTCTAACAACTCTATTTGATAGCGACATACTCATGAATACTTCCAACTACATAGATAGATTCTACAATGACTAAAGATTCTTTTTGCTTTCTTCGTCTTGCATCATTTACTTCGAGTCTCACTTATACATTAGACTTACGTTTGAACTAACTTTTGTTTTCTTTTGTCTAGTCTATATACGAAATATGAATATTATTGTTTCTTTTCCATAGGCTAGTACTACTACTCAGTCAATCAGGTTATATACGTAGACCATTGAGTCTTGAAAAAGGGTTATCAGGAACTGGTATATTTATTTACCAAAAGACGTCGTTAGGACTATTTTACTGTGACCAATTACGTTGTTTCTCGAAAATTTAAAAGATAATAATGAACACTTGAAGAAGAAAATAATTAAAAAAGCCTAGTTTGTAAGAAAAGTCTTTCGTGTTAAAAAGTGTTTGATAACAGATACAATCAAAACTTCTATAGATTTGCGTTTCTTGACATGTATAAATGCTTGTGTGACTGTTTAAGTATTATAATCATCCTTTTTCACCAATAAGTATTTTACAAAACGCACTAGAATAATTAATTCAAAACATGATGAACTACATATTATTATAAAGGTTGTTGAGTTTAAATTAATTTTCTTTGCCTTCAGATAAAACATATTATTCTATGAACTATTCAACAAATTATGGTTTTTTTCATTGTTGATTCATCTCAAATTAATTAACTGTCTATTACTTATTCCTGAGAAATTATTAGAACTTCATTT